TATATGTTCCTACCCCGTGTGTCATCCTCCCGTTTTAAGATCTTCCCCCATACGCGCCTAGACCCCACGTACGGGACTCTCAAAGAAATATGTGGGCGGGAAACGATTTCGCGAGTCAGGCAACGTAGAAATTTGAGACTTTGCAGGGTTATTCTCTATGCACGGGCGAGATAAAAATTTTAAAGGCAGCTCTTTAGCTCCTCATCCACAGCCTCAGGCAGCTCCTCAACCCAAAAATCGTTCGCAACTCGCAATCCTATATGTTATTGAACATGGATTTTTCGACAAACGATCGCTCGAGCAATACTTCCGCTTTTTAGTGGACTGGAAATTTGCATTTTTTTTTCAAGAAATTTGCATTTGTCATTTTTCACAAAGCGAGCATTTACCGAAAAAACGACTGAACTTCATGCAGAAAAGCGGTAATCACGCACCTGGATGTTCGTGCGGCGCTGTAATGGGCCACCATCCCAACTGATGCCCTTGCTGCTGCATGCCGGAAAAGATCAAAGCACGGCCAATATGACCCAAACGTTAGGCTACAGCGTACGGATCATTCTTGCTAATTGCGCTCTGCGAGTTTGGTGCAAAAATGCATGGTCGCACCGGAGAGCCTGGTGCGTTCCAGCCTGAGTTGTTCCTCCACGTATGCTGCAGTTTCAAATTCGTATCCTGGGATTACAACCGTTCTGGGGGATTGGTGCAGGAGAAATGAAATTATATTGGGATCATTGGCTGTGCGTAAGTGCGATTATGCGTTTTTGCAGTATTTCGTGCTGTAGTAAGACCGCTCGGAAACCCAGTAACTAGAATTTGTGACATATTGGTCCTCGAATTTCGAGCAGTTAATTGTGCAACTACATGGTACTCGGATAGGGAACATCCCATTAAAATTTCATCCCTCCAGCTTTTATGGTTCCCGAGTTAGTAATTTTCCTGCCGGAAAATTTCATGGGTCCACCCGTGAGAACCACGCAAAATTGGGGGCTGAATTTAATACCTTTAAGTTGGACGGGGGCTTAATTAGTTAATTCTGGCGGTCAGTCTTAATTTGTTTAGCAAGAAGCATTTGCCGAAAAAACCGGTGCCGGAAACGACAAAAACTGCGGAAAACTATGCAAAAAACGCGCCTTCGCGCAGGCAGCTCGTGCGTTGGCCAATTGCAGTATGCAGTGCAAAAAACGCATATTGACGAAGGGCTGTCTGTGTGTGTCTGTGTATTCGTGTGTGCGTCTGTCACAGTTTTGCATCTCAAGACCTACAAAAGCTACAGGGCTGAAACTTTGGGAGCTTAATCTACATGCACGCACGGGCCTCAGTCCCCAAAATGGGCGCCATTTCCTGCGTGGTACCCACGTAGGAGCGCGCCAAAGTTTTTTACGGGCAAGCTGCTTACTCGGGAACCAGAAGTGCTTGAGGGCTAAAACCTTGAGTGGGTGTTCCCCGTCCAAGTAGGTATTAATGAACTCTAACCCAGGCCCCGGATAAGAGTGGTACCCGCATACGGGATCGCCAAAATTTTTTCGGGTAAGTTCATAACTCGGGGATCTGAGAAGCTAGAATGCTGAAATTTCACAGGGACGTTCCCTGTCCACATAAGTCTTAATGAGATTCAAACCAATTCCCGGGCACGCATGGTACGCACGTGCGGGCCCGTCAAAGTTTTCGGGTAAGTTGCTAACTCGAAAACCTGAAAAGCTAGAAGACTGTAGTTTTAAGAGGATGTTACCCGTCCACGTAAGTCAGCGAGCTTAAACCCAGACATCGGACATGCGTGGTACTCACGTACGGACCCGCGAATGCACCTTGAATTTGCTGGACAGTGTAGAAGTCCGACCGGCATCAAACTTGGTGGGGCGACATCATGTAGCATTTTGCGTGGCATATTATTGGCATCGTCAGTGGCACAGCAAAGGGTGAGGCTGGGTGGCCAGTTCTTTTAATTGCTGTTTTCTCCATCTGTCTTTGTACAGCAAACGAGAAGATAGTTCATGCTGCGGAGATCCTCAAGTGCGATAAGGACGGTTTATTAGGGTGGATTCTTTTTTAAGTGTGCTCTGGAGCAGAGTCTCCTAGATGCTAGTGCACAGAATTTTCTACCGTTACTTTGCTCCTCTTCAATTATATCAACAACTGAATGGCGAGGGATGAGGGAACACTGCTCTGACATACAGCGCCATAGATTACGTGCATCATTTTGCATCGTTATGGCACGCACAGAGAAATGTATGTACACAACATCCCATACGGGCACATCTCGTCGTGGGTGATTTGTTTGTTAAGGCGGTCTCTGCGAGTCCCTGATTTCGAAGAACTGCCGCTGTGTGTTCAATTTCCCACTGAGCCAGTGATCCCCGGCCTTATGGCCCCACCGTTCACTTATTATGCGTTTTGTGCTGTGTAACAGCAGTACAAAACGCATATTGTTACGGGGTTGTCTGTGTGTGTGTGTTTGTGTGTGTGTGTGTGTCCGCAGCAACTTGTCCGCAACTTTCAACTCGGGAACCACAAAAC